CTGTCTGTTCAGTATTCATTTAATTTCACTCATTGTGGAACCAGTGTTTTCCACAATTTCCAGGCCTTTCTAAAGCATGCTTCATAAGGTCATTAAACCTGTTAAAGACTGTTTCCTTTAACTGCTGCACCCTGCACCCTTCATCTCTGGATGTGTGCAGGTGCTGCTTTTAGAAACTGAAATCTGATACAGTAGGCTCATTTAAATTTACTGCTGCTACCTGTGTGGTAGAGGCATTATTTAAAACTTCCTGTGAATCAAGATAGGTACAGATTTCCAAACAGGTCTGTTTCCATAACATACAGTGTGTTCTCTTTCATCTCTTAAAGCTTTTTAGTCAGACTGCCCAATGGCCAGTCTGACTATCGAGGGTTTTATTGTACCTGGGTGATGCGAGTGTGTAGTACCCCAGCAGTCAGAGTGAATATCAATAGGTGATAAAAAATAAAAATCTATCTAACATAATGTTAGCTAGTTAAATCTATCTTTCTCTCTCTACTCTTTCTTTTTCTCTCCTTTCTCTCTCTCTCCCTCTCGCCGTAGCTGGGTGTCACCACTGTATCTGTCGTTTCAAATTAAAAAACCTCTACAGAGTAGTGTAATTGCGACCTTATGACATTACAGCGGCGGCAATAACAATCTGCCACTGCAAAATGTACACAGCAGAAACACTGATGCCCCCCACACACACACACACACTCTACCCCCTGTATACTTTTGTGCTCTGTCTTGTTCTCATATTCTCTGCTGTCCCCTTTCCCTTCTGGTCCTCGTTCTCATTCACTTTCTCTCTCTTAACAGCACTGTTTTAACTTTCTTTCTTTTCCTCCTAACAATGTCCTTCATTGTTGAGCAGGAGGTTGTCAGGCATGATATGTGGGATTAAGACACACAGACCGACAGAAAGAAACACAGACGCAGCTATTCTAGACTGTTCCATTACTGACCAAATCCTTGCTACAGAGGCCTTTTAGGGTCAGTTTTCATGACAGACAAGGCCCTGGTTTGGGAACATTCAGTTCACTAATCTGCGGGTGTCAGTGTACTCGTCTGTCTGATAAAGCTTAGATGTGTTGAGCCTGGCAGTAGCAGGGCCACCCTTGCTTAAAAGATGTATGCACTATGGTACTGTGCTACTTAGGAACTGAAGTTGTTGAGAACAATAACCACTATACAGTATTCAACAAAATGCTATAGTTTTTGTTATCGATTCAGTCAGCTGAGAACAAAACTATCTGGTTTGTTGTACATTTTTGGTTTCAGTAGTAAAGGCCCTTATCCAATACAAGAATTTCAGCTCCAATAGCAGGATTTTCTCTAGCTTTTAAAGAGGCTTACACCCTAGTAGCACCAGTTCAGTTGGTTTTGGAAAGAATAAAGGCTGAAGAATGCCTTTTAGAGGACTAGGCAATCTTTGTGAGCAAACACAATGCTCCTGAATCCCAGATTTACTAATACTAAGTCAACAGAAAAAACATGAAAATAAAGTTTGATTCTTCAGCCAGCAACAAATACAAATCCTGGAGTTGAATCATTTCTCTTTCTTTTCTTTATTTTTACGTTACAAGTGAAAATACTATATTATAATGCTAAGAATGAATGGAATCTGCAGGTGAAAATTAGGTTTTATATCTAGAGCAAGTAAAACTTCTGTTGATGATTTGGATATAATGGCCATTGTTTAACAGAAAAATGACTTTTCCAGAAAGGTATTTACTTAAATTAGTTACTGTATTTTTCCTTAAAAGGGCAGTATAGCATATGAAAAAAATAATTTAGGAGGTGGAGAGAGTAAAAGAAAATCACCTGTATCAGTCGGAGGTGCAGTTTAAAATTCCTCTCAGGTTCATGTGAGTTCACATGTGCTCTTAGCCCCACAAAGACACAGTAGTAAATTAAAGACCGTGACAAGCCATGGCTGAGCAATGCACGCTCAGGTAATGCTAGTGAACTGATTAACTGATTGCTTTTGATTTGACTGAAAAATGATGAGGTGAATGGACCAGGGCAGTTGAGCACCTTGACTCTGCTTGGGTTTTAGAAAGGTTCAAATTAAAGGTTTTTGTTCTGTGTAGTGTGGAGGTATCAACTATAAAAGATGTGTGAATTTTTAAGCAACCTTGGATAGATACTGTACATCTGAATGGAACTACATGTAACATCACACAACCATTATAGCAATGTAGTGTAATATAAAAAACAGTGGCTGTAAATGTTTGACGGCCCCTTTATGATTTCCCGGATAATATAACCGTTTTTAACCACTGACTCACATCTGCCACTGGGCTAAATACGAAACTAGCGATATCATTTAGGGTCATGGCAAGGATTTAGGTTTTATATTAACCAAAGTTTAAATATAAAGTTAATTTTACCGGTAGGGTAAAAGTTCATCTGTTATGAGTGTGGATTTTGTTTTTGTTCATTTTCATACCAAATGAAAATGTTGGACAAAATGAATGGCTAAATAGCTTTTTCCTTCTTGTATATGAAATGTTTGAAGCATTGCATAGACTGCAGTTTATGAGTTTTACAGTTTTCATACCATGGCACAAGGTTTTATTTCCAATTAGTAGTTGCCAAATCTCTCTAAAAAGTGCTTTTTATTGGCTAGAATTATATTGGATCTGTTACTTGGCCATATTAACTGATTGAACGTTGTTTAAGGAGCCTTGGGTAGTGTTGTGATTTAGTGATCAACCTCTTAATGTATGGATAGATGTTTCTAACAGGGTAGAGCAAAGCTTCTGTCCTTTGAAAGGACGACACAGGGAAAGTTAAGGAACAGATAGTTTCTAAGCTCAGCATGTTTTTTAACCCAAAAGTCTGCTCCTCTTGACAAGGAGGTGATGCAGAGCGCTTAAGTAGGTCGGACGGCTTGTGTAACATGCTGCATGAGGATGAATGAAAGAATGAAGGGGACACAAGAGGGTAAAAGGAAAGAAGAGGGAGTGACGGGACAGGGTGTATAGCGGAAAAGCAAGACTGAGAGAGTTGTTCTGGGAAGAGAACGAACACAAAACCTGTCCAGACCCAACCAGGTGCATGTGTGCATATTAAAGACCATGGTTCCTTTCCAGCTCAGTGCTGCATAATCTGTCTCAGAAATGGGCAGCAAGGCTTAAAAGCATCTTGATGGAATGGGCTAATTAAAACAGTCATTTAGACAAATCTTCAGACAAATTGTCTTAAATAAATGTGCTCAGAGTTAGATAGACCAGTACAAACTGATCCATCATCTTTTCCAATCCCTAATCAAACTTTATTTTTAGATTTAAAAAAAAAAACAAATGAGCAAAATAGTCTCACTGCTTCATCAGACTGTGTGTGTGATTCTTTGACTATTCATTTGTTGAATTTATTGATTCATTCATTCTCATGTGGACACTCTTTAGTTTAAGCTTTCTACACTTTTAAATAACTGAAGTTATAAATAACTTGACATTAAGGAATTAAACCAAACACATTTTATATCTCCAGCAAATACATTTTTCCTTCTCTCTCTGCCCCCCTCAGTTTGTGTTGTGTTGTCCATCTCTTTTATTTTTCAGTGTCTTCCTGGCTCCATAACACACTCTAAAATAGAGCTGTGTTGTTAATATTTTACTACATTCCCATATAGACCAGCTAAGTCGACAGGGACAGCCTCAAAGGACAGTTTCTCTCTTCACACACACTTGGACACACAGACTAACACAAATTCACCCCATTTCATCTCACATACACCCTTAACACACACACACATTCACAAACAAACATGAGTGCACATACTGGATAGGTAAGCTTTTTTTGTCTCAGAGCGCTGGTGTGCTTTGAGCAAGAACCTCGTATTCACTGTTGACAGCCTCATCACATTCACATGTATGGCGACCGTAACACCAACACACCTAACATTCTCAGATTCAAAGTGACAGTTTACTTCGGATGGACATGCACAGACATGTAGGACACACACACACACACACATACACTCACACACTCACACACTAGCACAGCTTTCTAGCCTGTGTCAGTTTAATTATTGTGTTCAGTCCTCGAGCTGATTCCTGGACAGCCTGACATCTCAAGCCTCCAAGTAAAGATGGTGAATTTAGAGAGAAATGTGAGGAAAGAAATAAAAGGAAGCAAGAAGAATACAAAAGAGAGGAAAAGGAAAAAAAGGCGGAAGGGGGAGTGCACTCCGAAATCTTTAGCACCAAAAATGAGAAGAAAAGAGACCCACGGTTTATGAATGAAATTGGCTTTAGCTTCTCTCAACCTCTTGAAGGAAGTTTTAATTGGGTTGATTCTGATACAAATTTTAGTGTGAAGGCTGGTCAGTCACTGTTGGGCCGAATGCATGTTTCACTATAAAATCACTGTTACCATGACTACATTGTGGTAGAATAAAAAAGGTTGGAAACGGCTATGTCTAGACTTCATGATTCTATATATTTGCTTTATTTTCTTTGTAGTGTAATTCTTTGCCCTCTTTTTATGCATCACTGGGAACCTCTGTCAAATTCATGAAAAGTTTTTTTTGCATGTGGTTTAGTTTGCATGATTCTTTGTATTAATTCCTTGTTTTGCAGTTACTTCCATTTAAGATAATTGTGTCCATGTGTAAACAGTCTGTAGCCATTATATGAAAGAGGCACAAGCAGTCATTTTGCATTGATGTCGTAACATGATGAATTTTAATTCTATTAGATAAATGTGGATCTTAATATAATGTGAAACAATGTGTGTAATTGTGTATTTTTAATTTGAATGTTGCTGGTGTTACATGATACCCAGTTTACATAAAACAGCTGCTGCTGCTGATACAAACATGTTATGCATCTCTTCTTGTGCATAATATTTGTCAGAGCAAACATTTGACATTTTGTTTTGAGAGCAGCTAATGTAAAAGCTATAGATATTGTGCATATTGAGACGCTTTTCTGCTACATTACAATAGAAGGTACCACCCTGACCCTTTCTTCCTCCCTCCTCTTTCTTTCCTCTCTGTTTCTCCTCAGTGTAGCTAGAAGGGAATCCTGCTAGAGGGATTAGCGGTCCGTCAATGAGGAACTACCGGCTCATCTTCTGCCACAACCTGAAGCAGCCATAGATGGTTCAGTGGTTCACTGGCCAGGGGAGGAGAGGATAGGACACACTTTCACTGCTACACGGTGAGTACACAAACAAACACACACACACACTGGGTTAATTTATTCTGTGATGTGCAAAATGCACAGATTCTGTTACTGCCTCATTGTGGGCCAACATAAACATAATTCTTTTAGTACACGTGCATATGGGCTCATGCATATATGATTTGACTGGTGTTTGTGGTGCTACAATTTAGCTGCTTTAGCTCTCATTAGCTTCACAGACAGAGAGATGTTACACTAAGAAAACAGTTCAGTTTCATTTGTGAACCAGCTTGTGAAACAGCCACAACTCAACAGAACTTCATAATAAACTCCTTCCAATGCAGAGTTACATGCACACTCTAATACAGGCAGTCATTAAACATTTGTGTGTTATATCTAAATGTGCATGAATATTAGAAAAAGCAGAGGTTATGACTTTTTACCACTAGCCAGAATCTGTCACTTATCAGTTATTTACACTTGACAGTTACCTAGCTAGCTGCTAACTACATTTTAAAAGTGACGAGATCCAATCAATGAGATTGTTTACATAAAGAAGGATTCACCACACTGTTGGCCGTTATGAACAGTAAGACATCATAGTTCACTCTGTCTTTTCATACTTTAAAACAATACAGAGTCTTTGGTGTGGCATCTGATCATCTTGAGTGCTTAAACAGCACAGACTAAGTTATACAGAGAGCACATTATCTTGCCCACAGCCAAGAATTTCATTTTGTCCTGTGGCCAACTCACAGAATTAACATCAATTAGCTACAACTGAGCAAATCTGCCAGGAACCATTGTTATTTCAGCCCTCAAAATCAACAGTCACTGGCTGAAAATGTCACTTCTTAAAACTTAAAATTACAGGGAGAATCATCATCTAGCATTAATGTTTAATAACTATTTCAAGCAATGATGTTTATACTGTTAAAAAAATCATAAATAGCTTAGCAATACATATAGTATTATATATCTGTGTGTGTGTATATATATATGTGTATATATATATATATATATATATATATATATATATCCATAAATGTGGAATATATCCAAGGCCTACAAAAACTAAAGTAGTCCATTCGTTCATACAAAACACTCCACAAGTTGAACAACTGAACATAAGCACATCTGAATGCCATGTAAGAAAAACAAAACCTGCACACACCGAGTTAGACATCTAACTTACTGAAACCTCATAGGAAAAAGGCTTCATAAAATGTCTTACTAGCTGACATGTTTTGGTCATGACAAGTTATATAACAAGCTGACCATAAATGCAACAACAAACTGGTTTTAAACTGGTTATCCAGAGAGTAAGAGGAGGAGTAAACAGCTGACCCCTTCAAACAAGTTCAGCTTTGTTCTTAGCACAAAAATCCAGCCCAACATCCCCATATTATTCTGCCTTCCTGCCTGCCTGTCTGTCCATCCATCTGTCTGTCTGTCCCTTTGTGTCATTCTGATGCATGTAACTTTTGAAAAAGAAATGTTTTGTCTGATATTAAAAATAGAAAAAACATTTAAATTAGCTACAGGACAGTGTGCTTGTAATGTATGCCTTTTGTTGTCATTAATGGTAATATTTGGATATCTTTAAAGACCAGTATCTTCTAAAATATACCGTGAGTTGAAATTAACTAGGAATTTTGATAAACATTTGGTGATGTTCCCTTTTCCCCGGATGAGTAGACTGGACACCATCTGCCACTGTTTGCATTCAGATTACTCACCAACCCGACATCATCAAAGTCAAAGTTATGTGCAGTTTCTCTGCTACTTAAGCCACCTTTTCATTTAGCACAGACAGGACACCTGTTTCATGTCTACTTTACTTTACCTAAACTTTGGATCTGTCCTTTTCATCCTGCGATGGCGTGCAGAAATCCTGATTCATCAGCCCTGGCTACGTTTTTCTAGTCTTGACTGACAGGAGGTCTGACATGGTCTTCTTCTGTTGTAGCCCATCTGCCCCAAGATTTAATGTGTTGTTTATTCTCAGATGCTTGTCTGCTCACCATAGTTGTAAACAGTAGTGAGCAGAAAAGCGTTACTGTAGCCTTTCTGTGAACTCAAACCAGTCTAGTCATTTTCCTCTGACCTCTGTCATCATCAAGGCGTGTCTGTCTGCAGGACTGCTACTCACTGGATGTTTTTTGTTTTTGCACCATTCGGAGTAAAAACTCTAGAGACTGTTGTGTGTAAAAATCTCAGGAGATCAGCAATTTTAGAGGCATTCGAACAAGCCCGTCTGGCACAAACATTCCACGGTCAAAGTTACAAGAGATCCCATTGTGATGTTTGATGTGAACATCAACTGAAGCTCCTGACCTGTATCTACAGGATTTTATTAAGTGCTCCTCCTCCACCTATTTTACTTTTTCCATAAGAAACCAGGTGTAAATTTGTATACAGGTCAATATCATTGCTGCTGTCTGTTCTCTCCTTCCTCCTCCTCCTCCCCCTCCCCCTCCTCTTCTTTGTTGGCTAGATGACAGGAGGGGAGGTTCACAGACAGTAATAGTGAGTGAACCAACCACTCCTTTAGGTTTGAGGGTGGTGTGGTCATTTTATTTGTTTGTGAACAGCAGAGGTAGAGAGTTCGCTCAGATCCCTTAATCTTTCCTTTTGTTATCTCGCTGGATCTCCACCTGTCTCGATGATTGTGTTTTCTGCACTTTTTGATTTGCGGTGTGAGTATGAGTGAAGATGAAAAGTGATGTTTTACAACAGACTGCATCCTTCACCAAGGCTCTTATTTTGTAAATCCTTCCATCTCATTTTTTTTGTCTAACCTCCTTCCTTCTGCTTTTTTCTTTCTTTTCGAAGACGTGAGGTCTTGGCGGGTTTGTGGTGAGGAGGAGGAGGAGGAGGCCATGAGGAAGAGCGTGTCTCTGTTGCCAGGCAATGAGGGCGGGAGCTCAGCCAGCACCACACGGGTTTTTGGCGTTCCATTGGAGGAGGTGTCACGCACACACACAATCAGTGGCCACGAGGTTCCTGCACTGGTGAAACACATTGTCGACTACATTGAGGAGCACGGTGAGTGATGGACACACGCACACATACAATTTATAATCACAGCACAAAATATATACAAGCATTCATTAAAATGAAGCTACTTTTCCAAATTGTGAAAAAGATCTTTGCTTTAAATTGTTTTATATCAGGTACATCAATGCCGCAAAATCAGAATTCTGGGTAGTCAATGTTGATAAGGACACAATTTCAGTCAATTCGAATGTCTCTTACACCAAAAAAAAACTTGATGTATCCTGATGCGGTATATTCAGATAACTCAGACACATCCACCCATCTATGGTTGCAGAAATGTAACTAAATGCATTTGAGTCAAATGAGTGTTATCTTCTGTCCTCTTCGCTACCTTTTAAATATAACTTATGAATCGGTGATAGAGGAATTGTTGTCATGTTGTAATAGAGAGTGATAACTGAATTACTAATCTCACTTTAGCAGAGAATATTTGTTGTTAGAGGTTGTTAGAGGTTGTTTCCAGTGTCCTTCATTTACCCTTAATTTAACTTAGTAGAAAACGTTTACATTTTTTTTGTCTCTGTACAGAACATTCAGCTTTATTTGTTTCTTCTGTTCAAGTGTTTGTAACTTTGGAATGAAATTAATGTTTTCACTTCTTCACGAACAAACAGATGAATATATATGCAATAAAATGAACCGACATGCTATTCAGACGTTCACACTCTATAGCCTGACATAGCTGGATACAACCATTAAGTGATGTTATTTCATTTTAGGTGACTTTAACAGGACTAGAAGTTGCTGCAGATTTCAGCCAACTGCTGTTGAACCTTTGTGCATTTGTATTTTGAATTACTATTACTATTTGTGGTCCACTCATCACTTCAAAGTGCATACTCAGTTACATCTAATTGCTTTCTATGTTGTTTCACTCTCCCAAAAACACACCCTGCTGCTGTTGACTTGCCGTGACTGTTCTTGCATCACGATAAATCAAAATATGTCGTTAGTGGAGATCCAGTTTATGCGATAAGATGAACTCTGAATGCATCAGCAAACAGCTCCATGGTTCGCTTCCTTCACCATTACATAACCATTCTGTCAACTGCAGATCCACTTGTGAAAACAGAAGAGCTTAGCAATGGAGAGAGGAAGCTACCAAAGTGTTGGCCCTGTGCCTTTCCCATATCTCCCCCGGAACATTTCTCTTCAAGCCTCGCGGAGCAGGAACGTCAGTCTTATGTCATTTTCTTTATAAGTGCAGGTTAGCAGTTTCAGACTTCTTGTTCTGAAGAATGAGAGGGATACTAATGGTGACTCTGAGCAGACAAAATTGAGTTTTATAACCTAACAAACTACAGCCAGAATTTATCTGCAGTTGGCTGGTAATGGTACTGACTACATAATACTGTCAGTGCCAGTTTTGTAGTGTTACATAGTTTATATAGCTCTTAGCCAGACACCTAACCAGTCCATTTTGTGCTAAGGATGCATTGTTGGTATGAACTTTGGAGAAATTAATAAATCGAGTCAATTAGATTAGTTTTAACTTGTTTCACTAAATCTCATTATCTCTCGTCATTGCCAAATTACTGTACATCTTATATTAGAAAAAAATGCATAGCATATCCATTTGTTTAATTTACTTCCTGTCTCACAGGCGAAGCAATAGCAATAATGTGCCTCCCATAAAGTGCATATGTAATTAATGGTCAGATCATGTAGAGCTCACAAATAAGGCAGATCAACAGGAGCCTGGATGTACTGGACATATCTACATATTATAGAAAGTCATCTAAGTGTGTTATATAGGCCTTTTGATTGGCCCCAGGGTGTAAAAACTAATCAATACATCAGGAAAGGACCTTGAGCACATATATTCAGTGACAAGTTAAACAATAGAGAAAGCTTCCTTTTTCTAATTTACATTCTGAGCGCTGTCAGTCACAAAACAAAGACATTTTCTTGAACAACCTGTCAAGTCACTGGAGGGTTTTTTTTTTTTTTTTTTTTCAAAACTATTGGACGGAAGCTTCACCTTGAGTCTCCTCAAGTGAGCAGTGAAGCAGGTTGGTGGTTTGTTTGACCCGGGGGCTGCTTGCCATATGAGGTTATGTAATAAGTCTTTAATCCTCCTGGGCTCTGCTGGCACATTAATTAGAGCGGTGCTGCCAGTCCAGAAGTTATTCATCCAGTGAAAAGGCCTTAATCTCTCTTATTTAATTTGTGTGCAATGCTTGAGGTTTTAGGAGAAGCAGGGTGTTGAAAATATGAGGTAAAAAGGCAATTTGATGTAAGACAGAGATGGAAAATTGAAAGCACCTGAAGGTGTGTCGGACTAAAGCTGTCGCATCTGTGACAGATTAAATTCCTCACACTGTTTGAACAGGGACCAAATGCATTGGCAGATATTTTTGTGTTCCATAGGACTGAGCATTTTTTTTAAATGTTGAACATCATTGACCACACATGCTGCATGACATTGTGATGTGAAAAGGTATTTTCATGTCACTGATTGTGACTGCAGTTATTTCGTTATACCCACAAGTGAAATCCTGTTGTCAATATTTGCTGTTACACATGTAGGTCATTTTGTGGAGTCCCACAGGACTGCTGTGGAACAGTTGGACTAAAACATTGTGTTATCTGCTGTGGAAATGGATGATCGTTTCATAATCTGCAAATCACAACATTACCGCTTACACATCTTGAAGCTTTGCGTATTGTGTTAATACCCCACCAAGGTTGTTTAGGTAGTCATCATGGCAGTAAATGACTCGCAGTGTGACAGGATCAGCAACAAGTAACAGCACTGGGTGGAAATGAAAAAAGAAAGTAGTCAATTTAGGCCCACTTAAGGTGTCAGTATGTTTCAAAGAGCTTATCCTTGTAGATAAAGCAAATTTTCTGACAATTCGTGCTGACTGTTCTTGACTTCTCTCTGAAGCCTTCTGTTTTCTTTCTTCACACAACTACTTCTATTCACTTTTTGTTTGAACAACCTAGTCATACACTATAAATGCTTTCGAGGGGAGACTGTTTGAAATTGTTATGTCCATTTGTAATTCATCGCATCTCACTCTCTCTATTTCAAGCAGAGTTTTCGCCCAGCCCTTGAGTGTGGCCTGTTGGAACAGGTGTAACATTTTAGACAAGCGAGAAACTCTATAGAAAAACTAGTTTGTTTGAAGCATATTGAACCCTTTAGGCTCCTCTCATTACCTGTTTTCTTCTGGAACCAACCAAAAATATAACCCAACATGTCTGCATTCTTATTTGACAGCCAGTGTTTTTACCTCACACTACCAGAGATTTGTTTCGTGAAACATTTGCAGGGATAAAGTCAAGCTAGGAGTAGCTAAGAATTAATGGAATAGGTTTTGTGGACAAGCATGATTTTTCCATCTAAAAAACTGAGAATAGTGGAATTATATTGCTGTACACATACTTAATATATATATGCATGTTGTAAATTTTCATTTATTTGAATTTGTGCAGTGTGACCAGTAGTTATTAAAGTAGCTACCAGCAATAGTAGTTGGAGCTGTAGAAAGCGACAAAAAAAATGTTTTCCAAGAGATTCATGTGACAACACAGTACATAATACAAACATTCATAGCATTATGAAGCTGAACAGATAATGTGTTACGCAAAGGAGGAAAAACGCAATAGTTAAAAAACAAAAAATGTTATAAAACTGGTTCAAGCCCTGACAAAACTCACTGATGCATTTGGTTTATCCTTTTCATCAAAAGCACTCAGTGATGTTGTCATACTCAGGAATGATAAGACTCAGTGTGGTCATGCTTCTATTTTTTCATACAGATAAGGGAGGAGTCCACATACACAAATGCATCACGGACACACAGCTCCTTGTACTTCTATCCTTATGTTGACCTTATGTAAACAATGTACAAGTGCAGAGTCTGGATCTTTCTATGTCTGCATTTCTAGAACAAAGAAGTTATGACAACAAATGCTTCTGGATCCATTACCATTCCAAAAGTTACAGAGAAATTCAACTACCTTTTACCTAAAGTTGGAGAACTCTGCTGGTTTATCCTCTGTAGCCTTCAATTTCTCATAATCCATTACATGTCAAACAATCATTTCATCAATTCCCAAGCTGAGAAATATCATATGGCTCTGCTTTATTCACCAGTTATTTCTGCTTGTTAGCCCCTTCGTGGATATTAATTAATTAGCTAAACTGTATTGCTAGAGATATATTAACCATTCATTTCTGCCAGTTGTCAATCATCTTCCAAAATCATATGTCACACTGTAAATTGATATCAAAAAACTTTCCCCTGTTCACCATGGGTGTTAACACTCTGATGGCCATAAGAGGGCAGATTCCCAGTTATAACTTGGTGGTAAATTTTACAAAGTGACTAAGACCCTTTGAATGCATCATTACTTTTTGACTCAGTTTTAGCCAGCAGGTTTTCTGAGCTCAAGCACTCAAAGACAATAGCCATTTTTAGCAGCCAAGGCGTCCTTATACCAGAAAAGATAGATAGTACACCGGTCAGAATAAGTTGCAGAATAAACTTGCATGCCGACCTGATATATCACTTTTATATCACTGGTGTTAATGCCAGGCCTCAGCAACAACCAAACCTTAGAGATTTAAACGTAAATGCAGGTGGCTTGTTAACAGAGTGAATGTTTGTGGACACAAATATGAGCAGGTTGTGCAGAGGAATGGAGAAAAACGTTTAATTGAAAAACAAGGACGTTGGGTCAATAACCAACCCAAGCTCAGAAAATATTAAAATATTGAAATTATATAACAATATACATTATATATATATATATAAGGTAACTGAGTCAGTAGTACAAATATTAATAGTTATCTAGCAGTAATTATTGCTCTATGCGTCATCAGGTCATCTGGACCTGGAGGGGCTCTTCCTGGTTAATGGCAACGCAGAGCGTGTGGATTGGCTGCGTCAGCGCTACGACAGTGGTGAAGAGGTGGAGCTAGAGAAGGAGGCAGACCTGGCATCAGCGGTCAGTTTGCTCCGACTCTTCCTGCAGGAGCTTCCTGAGCCCGTTATACCAACAGCGATACAGGGACACATACTACAGCTACACCAAGGTGTGTGACATGGATGTCTTATCCACTTCTAATGCTGTTCTGTATATTTCTCTACTCGCTCACCTCACCCTCTTTCTCTTTTTATCCACTCTGAAACACACAACTAATGTTTTTTGCTCTGTCTCAAGATTATTTCATACATTTATCTTTGCGTGTTGCAGAAATTGAGCGTTTTTATGCTGCCATTTTGTACTTGCCAATAGAAAAAGAGAGGCGACCACAACTATGAAACACACACTATTGTCCACCATTTCTGGATTTCCTCCAAGTTGACTTTACATTTTGTTAACCTGTTATGACTGTGGCCATGGAGGCAGATGTTGGTTATCTAAGCTGTGAATACACAGTACAGGGGTGAGGTCACTAAATGAAGCGGAAACGTGCTAAAACAAACTCTTTCTTAACAAGTATCTGAACAGTCTGTGTGTGTTTGTCTCGCTACTATTTTGAGGTTTACTTATCTCTCCTTTTCTTTATACTGTCTATCTCTGCCTCTGCTGTCTCAGGTTGTGTTAATCAGAGTTGCTTTCTTCCGATTGTCATTTATTCTTTTGCTTTAGATGTTTTTGCAATTTTTGGAAAAACTAGAAAAAGATGATCATGATCATTGCTTGTATTTTGGATTATATAATTAATGGCACTGACTAAAATCAGATGGAATAGTCAACTAATCAAGAGTTAAGTTATAAAAGTGGATGACACCTAATCACTACCACAAATCTCCCGTTTTCACATTTGCTCAGTTTCCTTTTCTGTCTCTGCTCTTTGCCCTGTCCTCTTTTGCATCTGAGTCTATCAGAGATAATCTACTCTAATCCCCTTGTCATGATGATGATGATGGTTGTTCCTGTTGCTGTCATGCAGATTACAGCAGTAGGGGTGTTTTCTGGGCTCTCTATGTCATATCATTCACTTCTCATTCTATTATAGCACTACTGTACTACATAAAGGATTATAATGTTTCACTCCATTTCACCTTTCTCAGAGGATTGAACACAGTCTTAACGTGTCTGCACACCCTCACTAAATAAGAATTTTTAAGGTCAACTGTGAAGCAACACGAAGGACTTGATAACCTATAATTCACTCCAGAGTATCTCCAAGTAAACTAATGAAGCAGCGCTGTGTAGCGCTGCGTGCTGCATGTATAAAGTGTACTTGTGCTAATGATGATTATAAACCAGCACCCTTTTTGCAGTAAAACTAATTACAGCAATAACTGAGTAGAGATGTTGACTGCAGTGAAGGTTATGAAAATGTTAATAGTCACATTTAATCATAAATCTGTCTTTAAACATTCCCAGAGTACAGTAATGAAGAGGAGCTGTGTAGAAACTTGAAGTACCTGCTGCAGCAGCTTCCCCAGCTGAACTACGGCCTGTTGCGTTTCCTGTGCCGCTTCCTGGCCAGTGTGGCATCACTTCAGCAGGAGAGCTGGAACGTTGGGGCGCTGGCCGCCGTCTTCGGACCAGACATCTTCCAGTAAGATCATAATCATCATAATCGTGATTAACCTCACTCACTGTTCCCTTAGACCTAAAAATAATCTAAATCTAAAGTTACTTATAATTTTACTAAGGTCCAGACAGGTTGTCCTCCTTTTTGTATTGTTTACACCCATATTTCTGCACATAAACTAGTCATTTACAGTATCAAAACTCTCCAGTTTATCGTTATGCATTGGAAATAAAATCATGTAGTGCAAATTGGCCCATATCATCAAATCATCAGAAAGGGGAATCAAGAGAACAAGATTGCTGGTCTGGAAAAAACTGATTTTGCTGCAGCCTTACAAGTGACACCACAGTTAATGCAGCCAGTGATTGGACTGACAGCAGCACGGCCATGCTCCCTTCATTTTATTCTGATCAAGCAAAGATCTATGTGTGGAAATATGTAATTTTACACAATTTTAACAAGATCCAGATTAGTAAGAAATATGTGTATTTGGGTATACACATAAACATACAAACTGAGGCACACATAGGCACTTTCGCATATGTTTATTCAGCTACTGGAATTATTTAACATCCTCTGCGTGGCATTGCACAGCCAATAAAACTCCTCTCTCATCTTCCATCTGCAGTCTGTCATCAGAAGGAGAGGACCTTCGGGACCAGGAGTCTGTCAGCAGAGTCCTGGCAGAGCTGTTAGACAACCAGGAGGGCCTATTCGACTCAGAGGACGATGACGTCTCCACTACGAACGACTACAGCTCCATTAATGAACAGGTACTGCCCATATGCTTTGTTTCTAACTTCTAACATCTTCTCTAGATGTGACATGATATGATATGATATGATATAATATGATATGATATGATAAGTCTTTTGATTGAATTCATGACATTTCCAAATCTTTTAGTGGTAGAATGGTGAAATGGGGTAAATTTTGTTTAAGCTATCATAGCAAAACATTTCATCACAGAGAGTCCTTTTTTAGTTTGTTTAGTTTAGTTTAGTTAGTTTTTAAGCAGGAAACGATAAATGTCTTTGAACTGCTGATATATTAACTGACAAATAAAATAAAAATGTGGGAAAATTTACAATAAAACACTACCATAGGGAGTAAAACATAATATAGACATTTTCGGAAGGCTGTTTGTTGAGTGAAAATTGTGACATTATAAATACATTAATTCACTGTCAACATTCTTGACATAATAGCGAAGAAGTCGAAATTCTCATCAAAATCCTCTTTGTCCTCCCCTCTTGGTCTTTTTTTCTTCCCCTTTGTTCAAATATTAGAATGTGGCATTTAACTGTGCCAGGGCCAGGGGTGAAATTCCTTCTGGGTTGACATACAGAGAAAACAGACAAATCCTTCTCTAAAAAGTGAAAGATTAAAGTTTTGGTATGCCATTAGACTGTTAACAATACACACCAAACTCACGCCTGCTTTGTGGAAAAAGAAAGGCCCATAATAACAGATTTACCAGCGAGAGACGGCTGATAAAGCTGAGTAATGTGGCGTGAAAAGGTTTTAGATATCTTTGAATCAACTGATGAATCATCTGTGTTATTTAACACATCCTTTGCTCTGTGAATTTGTTAACCTTCGCTTCAATTTAAACTTCAGATTTCAGAAACAGAATCTTGGTTTGAGGTTTTTAGTTTATATACGTATCATTAATTGAAATTTTTGGCACAGCCCAGCAGTAGATGTAACACCTAGTAGTGATTACTGCTGCTACAGTATTTTGGATATATTAAAAGATCAGGCTACATTAGCATACATGTCTACAGATACTCATACTGAATGACTTCATCCAGGCTAATTAACTAATTGCAGTGGGTCAGGCAGAACTTGTGTTGTACAGGAATGTGAGTAACGTTGATATTGAGTTGTACTCACCTCCTCTAGGTTATGTTGTACAGTGCATAGTTCTTCCGTCAACAAAATAGTCTAAAAATAACTCAAGAAGAACCCCATCCAAACACACTACCCACACACACTGACTGTACACATTGAAGAAACTCTTTGGCTTTGTCCTATTACACATTCCAGTCGTTGCTTTAGACCTACACTGAACACACAGATCGTGACTGGCAGACTAAACAAACTCAAAGGCATTTCCCCTGTTACCCAGCAACACAACCTCACCATCGTACCAACAGTGCAAAGAGTGGCATAGTTAACCTTTAACTTTACAGTGGTCTGATTACATTGTATTATTATATCAAAAAGTATACACAAACACAATAATTACAAGATAACTCTTGATTGGTATCACACGTTGCCTTTCCACTGGAATTCCTGTCACATTTAAGATCGCATTCTCCAACGCAGCAGACATATTGTATTAAAAGGCTACAGTCATTGTGAAAGAAAGAAGCGAAACCTTATTATCTACAATAGGTCAACTTTCCTAAACATCTGATTGCCTTCTTTATTCCCTCTCCTTCACCAATTCCTTCCTTTTTATACATTTTTTTGCAAGTTTGATGTCTATTTTAGTTTTTTCTATTATGAGTCATATCCTTCCTTTATTCATGAAAAAGATCTAAGCTCTAAAAATCTAATCAAAGCTCTGGCTTGCTAATATTGGTTGATTGAAATAGAGCTCAGTACAACAATAAGCTAAAGTAGAGATTTCTTCCATGCAACTCATTGAATTTCATTTTTATTTTCCAAATTAAATTTCCTTATCTTTCCTGGTTTTTCTGTCTGTCTCCAGTTGTAAATTTTAGTGTCTGGACTGTCAAACGAACGAGAATATAACATTACCCAGAGACAGAATGACAAAAGGAGCAAAATAAGAGGAAGCAGACAAAGAGAGTGAGAAAAATCTACGAAGACAAATCATCTGTGCAGCGATCTCGGTGTCTTATGTAAGAGAAAGGGCAAAAAGTAGGTGGTTTAGAGAGGTAGAGGGAGAGGAAGCAGACTGGAAGATGGAGGAGAAATGCAGAGAGTGCAGAGAGAGAAGAGGAAGAAAGACATGAAGGGAGAGATGGTGAGGGAGGGGTGGGATAAGAAAAGAAGCTGATGATGATGTAACCATGCAACTCACACCTACAGCCCCTGGACTACACTGGGAATGGTTCTCTGTGCGAACAAACGCTCATGATTGGGATTATCTCCCACACACACACACACGCTTCATGCTTTGAGTTAAGCCTTGAATCAGACTTAGGAGTTAAAAAATGCCTCACAGAGGTCAGAAGAATCCAAATGAACTACAATTGAATGCAACAATTGAATTACAAAGAATGGACAATTCACGTTTTAAGAAATGGGGAGACGATGTAAGTGATGGAAGGGAATCTCAACAGAGAATCAGTGAGAAAGATGAAGACAGTTGTTGTTCTGTGGCATGTCTGGGCATAACTTTGAAACTCAATGAGGCTGGCGTGGATCAGTGAACAATGTGAAGTGCCAAACTGGATTTTGGCCTGAAAATCAGTGGAATTATTGTTTAGGCCAGATTGAAACTTTGCTGAGGCTTGTTGTTGCTGCTATCATGATACCCAGTGGATGTGTTTGTTTTGATTCAGTGCCTGAAAAATCTTTTCACTGCTGGGGTAACAGGACAGAGCGAGGGGGAAAAAAAAAACTAAAATTGAAAATCATTACTTATTTGTTTTAGATAAGAGTATAAAATTTCACCATCTCTGTACGCTCAGTAATGAGACAGGCCGTGATGTTTTTGGCCTAGCTTGGAACAAGGGCTGGATTGTCGGAGAGTCAGTTTTGATTCCTTAGCACACATTTTCTCAGGATGAACTGCAGGAGGAAAACACAGCGTAGTTGTAATCATCTACGTTACGTCCTGTTGCATTATGAAGCAACATGTTCTCATTTGAATTATACAGTCCACACTGTAAGTGTTTTGACAGTTACACATTTTTGCTCTTCAGGCTCTGCTTGAATAAAATAATGGATACTTGAGTAGGTTTACTTCAATATTGAAAGAGCTGTGTGGGAGATGTAGCTCTTTTAGCACATAATTCCCAAAAGTTAGGGGTTCAAAAGTAATTGGACAGATACATGTGAAATCATCATCATGTTTAATATTTTGTGGAAAAGCCTGTGGAGTCCATGACTGCCTGCAGTCTTTGACCCACAGACGTCAGCAAACGCTTTGTATCTTTCCTGGTGATGCTCTCCCTTCACTTTTTGCTTGTTGTGGGGTCTCTCTGCCTTTAGTCTGGTTTTCAGGAAGTGGAATGCAGCTCAGTTGGGCTGAGGTCAGGTGATTGACAGCCAGTCAAAGTTATTCCACCTCTTCACACTGAAAAGCTCTTTGGTATGTTTAGGATCGTTGTCTGCTGAATGATGAAATGTCATCCAATGGCTTTTGATGCCTTTGGCTGAATCTGAGCATATAATGCATCTGTATACATCTGCATTCATTCAGCAGTGAAATGATCAATAAATGCCAGTGTGCCACTTCAAATGGCAGCTATACATGCCCAAGCCATAGCAGAAGCAGCACCATGTTTGACAGATGAGGTTGTTGCATTGGTTCATGAGCTGCTCCATTTTTTTTCTCCACACCTTCCTATTTTGATAGAGGTTGATTTTTGTGTCATCAGTCCATAGATCTTTGTTCCAGAACTTTACCGGGTTCTTTTGTGTTTTTTTGTGCAACCTGGCCTGTGTGTTTTTGAGGTCTATCAGTGGCTTGCATCTTGTGGTGAATCCTCTGCAGTTATGGTCATTAAGTCTTCTCTTGATTGTCTGCCTACATCCTGGAAAGCATTTTCAACTTGCTGAATGATTTGCTGCTTACCCACAAGACTTGTGGTCTTCAGTCTTTTTTCTTTTTTTTTAGCCTCATTATTATCTTCTTCACGTGCAAGGCCACCTCTTTACTCCTCATTATGACAGACAGCTCCACCTCCATCTGCAGTACAGTACAGTACCAGTGTGTAGTGAACATGAAGAAGAGCAGACTGTCCTTTCTTAAAGGTCATATAGTTGTGTTTTGGGGCTGCTGTTATCTTGGTTGTAGAGAAATCAAAACATGGCTTGTAGGCTTGATGTGATTTGGCCACTGAATCTCAGGTCTGTGCCTCTGAAGCCCCTTTTAGACATGTACCTTGTTACATAAATGTGATGGCAATTTTGCGTCAGTCATGTCTGACCCAGAGAGTCATTCTTATGTAAAAGTCACAATGGTAATCTTACTAGCTCAAATCAGGCACTGCATTAACGTAAAAGCACAGGAGCACAAGGTCAAATATGCACACAGAGAAATTAAACGCACACTGACTATCTAGCGAAACACTTCACATGCAACATCTGAGCAATTAGAGAAAGAGCTCTTGTTACTTCTTGTTATTCTATTCTTATGTGTCACTGTACAGTGTAAAATAGGCAAAATCCTCTAAATAAATGATAGAACTGATGAGACAATTTAATTGTAAATTTATTGCATTTATTGTGAGAATAGGACTCATGTCCCTTGTGCACATAATAGTCATTAATTCAGTTCAACTGCAAAATAAGTTTAAATACATCAGTGATTCAGCCTGTGAGGAAAGGATGAACATTTTTCTTGGTTCATTTCATTACTTTTCAACTCACTGCTGTCCTCAAGCAGTGATATTACACCCTCTCACACAACAGGTGCCAAATATTGAACAAGGGGTCTGAATAAAGGCATAAGCAACATTAATGTACTGCCCACTTATGTCTGAATGATCAAAAGCCATCACGTTAACAGCTAGATGAAGCCAGCAGTGTTATGTATTTCATGTCTGGAAAGGGCTTCAGTGGCAGCTTC